TTCGATAATTAATGAATGGAGGACTTTAGTGTGTTGTATATAACCAGCCTATTTCAAAGACTTCATGGGAAAGACTCCAAAGAATTTATTAGAGAGAGAATGAGTATTTACGAAGAGAGAGAGAGAGTTGGTATATATACATATGTTATGCTTACCTTGGTCTGGAGAGTGAGGAAGGAGAGAACCAGAGAGGACCGTAGGAAAAGTTTGGAGGAGAAGGCTAGAGGAAACTTGCAGATTGATTTAAATACGAAAATCAAAGGCAAGTCCAAGCTCTTCTCTTCCCCTTTGAATTTATAAAGTTTTCACCTCTGTGCTTATGCAATTTTATGATCAAGAATCATGCTAGTTTAGGTGATTAATTATATTTTTATTTTATGATGAATTATAGAATTTAAAATGAGTTTAAGGTGTTTTAGAATTTTTATGGGACCAATTGTTACATTTATGACTTTAAAATGGTTAAATAAGACTTCTATAATTTTTAGGAATTTTATAGATTTTTCTAGAATTTTTTTTGTATTTTCCGGCCATTTTATGCATTCTGCAACTTCCGGCGAAGTTTTCCGGCCACCGGCGAAGTTTTCCGGCTAACGGCGACGACCAGAAGAAGGGTTTGTGATCCAGTGCGGCGCGGCTACATGAAACACCATGCGTGCGCAGATCCAGACCATCAATCCTCATGATATTTAAAGCTTCGATAAGGTGTGGCGCATGCACATGAATGCACCCATGCAGTCGCGAGAAATGATATGGTACGGCGCGCACCATCAAGAGTTGATGTAGTAGCGAATCAGAATGCGCCATGTGTCAGGAGCTTAGCTTTTGATCTGGTGTGGGCGCGCTCACAGTAGCGCTTGAGCTCAACCTATTATATTGCCTGTTTTGTGACACGAAATTGAAACGATCATAACTTAGTCGTTTTAACTCCAAATTGGGTCATTGTTAGTTGAAATTTAAGGATTTTTCATTAGCTTTCCAACAATACCAATTTCATTTTCAAATTCCTATCCTACTAAGAGATATTTCTGTTTTAGTGAGATAGCATCGTGAAAATTAGTTAAACCGAGATGAATTATTTATGAAAAATATTTTATTATGCTAATATTGATATTTAAAATTAATTGGGTGATGTTTTGGTTGGTAACTACTGTTAAGTAGTTTTATGGTCTTTGTGATTATTATTTAATCATAAATTTAGTATTATTTTAATTAATGATATAAATCATTATTAGTATTTTATTAAGTTATTTTAATCACTATGAGTATTCGGATATTTTTATAATGGATATTTTTTTTGTAATTTTTTTTATGATACTATTCATGCCATAGTTGTTATTAAAATCTAACGAATGTTCTTTGAAATTTAATTCGCTTATAAGCCATTGATGATATTAATCATTAACATGTTATATAATGTATGCATCTTATGGAAATTATTATGTCATTTAAATTGCAATCATTATTACTTTTATATGCCTGTGTGGAACCACGTGAGCTGGCTAATAAGTCTAGACTCATTTTACCGGGATAGATTTTATGGCTGTTGGGTATGTGGTTGGTTATTTATATGCATGTATGGAACCACGTGAGCTGGCTAATAAGTTTAGACTCACTTTACCGGGACAGATTTTATGGTTGTTGGGTATGTGGTTGATTATTAGTGAGTTTCTTGTTATTGTGCTTTTACACGTATCATTTGTGGAATTCATTGCACATTTTTTTATTGCATATCAGTGATTAACAACTTATATTGTAATGGTGTATATTTCTATATTAATAAATATTATTACTGGTATGGTTTTTGATTTGAGATGATTATTTTATCGATTCTCTGTTGGGATGTAGTAGAGAGGACTTGCTTGTGGGTCTAACCCACCTTTTGTTGAATCATTTCAGGCCCTCATCAGTTTCATCCACAGGGCTAAGGTTTTAGCTGTCCATTGCATCTACCTTACCTCTACTCTTACTATTTACTCCAGGGTAGGAGTTTTATCCATTTCGATAGACTTGTCTATTTCAATTATGTAGTTGGTTTCGAATTTAGGGGTCTTCTTTATGAGATTCCCAAGTTGTATTTTGGAATTTTTATTTTGTTTTGGATTACTGTAATCCTATTATCGCTTAGACTTCCTTTATGCTTAATTTATCCTTTCAGATTTTTTTATTTATGTTATATTTTGTGCTTGTTTATTATCAATTGTTTTTGATATCCCCGTATTTTCGGGTGTAGACTTGATCAACCCACGTGTAAAAATTTTGGGGGTATCACACAACGGCAACTATGGAATTGGAAGGTTGTTCAAAGATGCCATAATTGAGATCGTCACAGGAAATGAAGAACGACATGTTTGGAAGAAATCCAAAAAAGTTAGGTCACATTCCATATTTGGTTGGTTTCTAAACGTACCAAAAATAATGCCCAGAACCTTAGGAATCAAGTTTGGCAGACTTGAACCGATTCATACGTCTTAGAACTTGTTCAAGCCGTTAAAATTTGGCCTAGAAATCATTCTATCATACTTGAACTGGTTCCCACTTTCTTTAACCGATTTAAGTCTTCATCATTGGCCTTAAATTTATTTTGCCATACTTGAATCGGTTCCCACATTCCTGAACTTGTTCAAGAGTCTTGACAGCTTATGGAAAGTTCAGTTTCCTATTTCAAATTTCTTTCCTATTTGGTCCAGAATTGTTCCAAGTCCTATGCAAAAATTTTACCATATTTTTAGAAGGACTAGGACATTCTAAAACTCTATATAAACCTTGTCATACACATAGATTTATTCACGGCTTTTACATTATCAGTTTATTATTCTTAAAAGCCTTAGGAAAATTTTTGTCTCAGGAAATCTTAGAGATTTTTCTGTTTGTCTTTCTAGAACACACACATATTCACATAGTGATTTTAGAATTGTGTTGTACAAATCCTAAGCAAATCTACTTCTACATCAAATCTAGAAGTTAAAGAACAGAAGTAAAAGTGATTACACTTTGAAAGGGTTGGAGCATTCGAGGAATGTTGTCTGATCTACCTGCAACTCTTCTACAAAGATTAAGCATAAGCTTAAGGTCAAGTTGCTGTTGGACGAGGAGTCGTAAAGTTAGAGGATTGTTAGAATTGGTGTTTGTTAGAATGATAGGATGTGAGCCAAAGTCAAAGTTCAATGTATGAGATTTTTTTCACGCAAACAGTTGACGTATTTTATCAATTAAGTTTCCTCACTAAAAATTCTGGTATCATCTCTAACTTTACTTTGCTTTATTTTATATTACATGATATAAATTTATTAATTACTACCAACAGGCTTGTGACCTAGCGGTACAAGGCCCCTCCTTTCTAAAGGAAGGTCAGGGGTTCAAATCTCAGTGGAGGAAATGTGTGTGAGTACCAATTAGAAAAAAAAAAAAAAATTATTAATTGCTAAAATAAAAAAAGTTATTTAATTTTTAAATTATCAAAACTTTCTAAATATTCTGTTACGTACAACTCACACAAAACCAACTCTAGAAGAGTTTATTTTTTATACTAAAATTTGAATCATCAATCAAATAATGTCCATTACTGCATACTATAAAATATATCGTTACAAAGTAATAATTTTCCGTTGCATTAATGATGTGTTTGTTTGGAGGGAGGGATTGAGGAGGGATGGCTGAGAGGGTGGATAAAACAATTTTTTCGTGTTTGGTTGGAGAGAAGGGAAAAGAGGGAGGAAGCAAGGAGGGCTACTTCATCCTTCCTTTCTTTGTATTTTTCTATCCGCCCAAAATTGAGAGGAAGAGGAGAGAGAAAGAAGTAACAATTAACAAAAATATATATTTTCCATTTCTAACCTTCCTATAAACTTGGTATAAATATAGAATTTTTATAAATTTAAATAATAAGGGTATATTGGTAAAAGAATATAAAAACCATTTTTCCCTTCCTTCCAACCAAACAAAAATAATGTGTCACCTCATCCATCATTTATACTATCCATTCCATCCAACCAAACAAAATTTGAGGAAGACATCTTCCCTTCCCTAGGGATGCCTCATCTATCCTTTCTCCTCCCCCTTTTATTAATTTTTCCATCCCTCCAACCAAACAGAGCATAAAGGTCTAAAGATTTAATCTTTTTTTGCCACGCCAAATCATTTGCATCGGATGACTGTAGGGGTATAGTACATGTGGGATGACTATTGACATTTCTTGCCATGCCAAATCAAAGACATCATTTGCATCGAAAATTTTATCAGTGGATGAGATAGTGTGTTCTCGGTCCTTATCCTTGTGTTCTTGGTCCTTATCCTTATTATTTATGGCTGAGGAGGACAAGCAGCCTCAACCTGATGACGAATTTTGTAATAGGTAACTAATTCTTTATTTCTATCTCTTTCCTTTTTTGTGACATTTTAATTTAGATTAAGCAGGCAATTAGGCAAAGCGGGTGTGGAGTGGTATAATAATAAATAAATAAGGTGGTGGCTCCTGAGTTTCTTATGGCAGACAGAATTTATAACAAAAGAAGTATCAACTCATTTTTTTCGGTTTAATTTGATGTTATCTATCAACTATTCTTTGCTATTGTCACGTTGAAGCGTACAATTTCACATAAAAATAAATAATAATAATAATAATAATTAAAAACGAGTACAACAATGAATCAAATAACGGCCTTTGTTCCTCTCTGTTGTCTAACCTGGTTCTCTCTGTACTGCATCAACGACAAGAAGAAACACAGCTGTCTGACCTGGTTTCTTTGGCCTTAGCATGTGCAAGGGTATGGTTTTGAGGTAAGAGGATGGTAACTGCTATGCATATCTGAAGGAATTTTAGTTTGTGGAACATGACCTGTTCGGGAAGACTATGAATGAATTAGATATTGGCCGTGCAGTTGTGGGTACCAGACCACCAAATTATACCTAAAATCGTTACATCCACAGAGACATGCATCCACATATAAAATACATTCAACTTCTCAAAACAGTGAACTATGATGCATAACAGTACCATATACCTAAAATCTAAACAAACAAGTCTCCATATATAAAATTTCATTCTGAACAAGAAGTTTTACCCTCCTTTTGTTAACCTCTCCTTAATCCAAGTAACATCGTCTTTCAAATCCCTCTCCATAGCTTTGAATCTAACCAGTGTAACTGGGGCATCATCCTTCTCATAAGGAGATATCATTGCCACACCACAGGATATCTCATCCCTGTTACTTCTTGATGCTCAGTAGCCTTCGCCTTCTCCTTCTCCTGAGCATATCGATCTCATTGCCACACCACAAGCCACGACATATTCAGGTTTCAACCTCATTTGCAGCTTGCTCTCAAACTGTGCCTGTACCACTTCTTGAACTTTGGGAATGTTTGAACAACCCCAAACCAAAACAATCTCATGCAGGCGGCTATACTCGTCCTTAGCAAACTTCTCAAATAAAACCTTATCATTTTAACCAGAGACTCAAAAAGGTACCCATTAACCTCCTCAAACTTGGGGCTTGTGAAGGAGGTGCTATAATCAACCCCCTCTAACAATTGTTTCACCTGGACCTCGACAATAGCATTCAATGATAGTGAAATTTTTGCTTTCTCACATGGGATGAGTAGTCAATTTATCACATCCATGTTAGCATAGACACCACTATACCTCTTATTGAACTTATCCCAAATGTGATGCGCCATATTTATGTCTATGCTTTCACGGCAAATTTTATTATCTGTAGTAGTTTCTTCGTATTCCAATTTGTTCGGTCCCACACTGAAAAATGTCACATTTGATGCCGTCCCACCTACATCTACAATCAAAACATTTTTGATGACAGGATTCTTAATCTCCTTCTCATAACCATAAGCAGAGACTAGAGCGGTAACTTCAGTGTAGGTATCAGCCAACCTGAGATCTGCAAATGTAATTGCATTTTGAATACCATCCCCCTGGGATTCTCTAACTTGTTGGGTAAGGCACAAGCCACATCCACGATGCAGACCCCAAGTAAATGTTTCCGGAGATAAATGTTTTTCCACTCCTTTGCTGTTCACCTTTATCAAAGGCGCTTCTTCATGTAAACTTTCAATCATGTGCAAACCATGGGAACAGGAACTTGGAATGGAGGGCACTCGCTGTGGTGCCAACAAACCTTAAATGTTGAGACCTATAAAAAGAGGCAAAAATATATATAAATATTTTGTACTAAATTAAGGTGCTATTTAAAGTTTATAATTAGATTATGAAAATGAAATTTAAAATATGCAGGTAGAGCCAGATAAAAATGTTGAGAAAATGAAAATATAAATGATTTGAAAATACGGGCTGCCGATGAATTCTTCAGAAAAAATTGTTATATATAGTTGGAAGTTCCTATAACATAATAAATCATCAATTTTTTGAAAAAAGAGAAGATTCTTTTTCAAATAATCAATATTCTTTGAATTTCAAAGGGGCATTATCAAATGGAGAAAAAAAGCCGGCTATCGGAATCTGATGACCTGTAATGCGATGTTCTAACCTCTGAGCTAAGCCGGCTTAGATAACAGAACTTGTACATGGATGAGAATTCAATAAACTATTGGAATATTCATATTAATATGAATAGAGGAAAAAATAGAAAGGCAATCACCAACACGGCTTTAGATAATCATTGAAGTGGTCTTTAGATTTTATTTTCATCCTCCTTTGACCGGCCTAGACTTCTTTCTATAAGTAAGCTCCCTCCGGCCGTCCGGGGACTGGATGGCTCTCGGTTCTTGAGCATAGGGGGATTAGGCGGCAGTTGAAAGAGCTGCTCGAAAGCTTGATGAACAGGCGACTCTCCCAGCCACCCAATTAATCAATTCCATGCCATAACTATTTGAATTCTGTAGAGAAATCAAGTCAAGCACGAATATGCTCGCTGGATAATGAATTAACGGGAGGAGAACTAAAACCTACCCACTGTTAAGTAACCCTGAAAACAAGCAGAGGAAGGTGGTGACTACGGTGCGCAGTTATCCCCAAATCAATTTGTGGGTGATTTTCACCCAATCCTATACAACTCAGTTAATTGGACAATAAAAGGCATCACCAACACATACAAACAAGATAAAGCATCTAACCATAAATTTGATTCATAGGAAAAAGTTCCTTCGCAGCATGGCCAATTAATGGCCCCGAGTTCGCAAAAGAAATGTAACAAGGAAGTGTGGCTGCTATTGTTGCAATGTTTCCTTCAATAACAGCTAGGGAACAGCAAGTGGTGCCGAAATGAATGCCTACAGTCGGTCCCTCTTTGTTTAATTCCATTGATTTTCTCTTGGCCCGTACCTGAAAACAGAGCAGGAATCTTAAAAGTGAGATGGAGACCTGGTAAAAAAAAGAAGAAGAAAGAAAGCAAACAGAATCAGACAGTGGCAGAAAATGATATACCTGAAGCATCCCATCGCTTCCGTTGTCGAAGGAAGCCATTTCTCCCAGTTGGTCCCTCTTTGTTTAATTCCATTGCTTTTCTCTTGGCCCGTACCTGAAAACAGAGCAGGAATCTTAAACGTGAGATGGAGACCAGGAAAAAAAAAAAAAAAAAAAAAAGGAATAATCAGAAAATGGCAGAAAACGATATACCTGAAGCATCCTTTCCGTCGGAGGAAGAAGCTGCAAAAACTGTCCCAAGAAGCCGCCCCCTCAAACCCTCGACCAATCGACCCTACCTCAAACCCTCTCTCTCTCTCTGGGACAACATGACAGTGTTCATTACACTATTTAACTTAAGTTGGGTAATACTCAATTTAAATGGGTTTGACCCGACAGAACAATTTTTATTTTTTTTATTTTTTTATTTTTTCTTTTTTCAGAAGATCGCTCCCTGCCTCGTATCTTTCCGTCGCCGCCGCCACCACCACCATTCTTGACCTCCTTTCTCTTTCTTTTATCTCTCACCTAGCCAACACATCCATGGCCATCTCTCTTTCACTCACCTAACCAGCGAACCCAATTATAAAAAATTAAAAAAAACCCATTTCATTATCAATCTTTCTCACCCCCAAAATCAGTAAACCCTTATATATATATATATATATATATATATATATATATATATATTATATACACCACAACCAACACCGGCCAGCTGGCAGTTGCAGGAGATGACGGCGGTAGGGCAGACGACCCACCATGGTGACGAGATACCGGACGACGACGGCGAGGACGATTGGTAACTCTTCCTGACCCAATGGAGCGCCGGTGCTGGGAATTCGGCCAATTCCGCCATCAAATCAAAAGACGATGATGGCAGATTCGTTCTTCGATTTAGGGATTTCGGTGATGAATCAATAGCACAAAATGGTGTCTAAACCTGACCCTAGATTCTAACTACTCTGTGATCTAAATGGAGAGAGAGAGCTCGCGGGGATGCCGATTGTGGGTGGTGCAGGGAAGGGGTGGAGATGGTGGTTTCGTATGGTGGGTGAGCAGTGGTGGAGGGGCCGATTGTGGGTGGTGGTAGAAGGTTAGAGAGATGAGAGGACCGATGGTGGCGACAGCCATGGTCAGCTACCAACCCTCCACCCAAATCGAAGCCATCGCCGTCGGCAACGAGGTCTTTGTCAATTCGGCCGTGGCTCTGCCTCGCTGCCGAGTCAACTCAGTCTCCAACAGCCACCAATCCAACACCACTCACTCTATCCTCTCCATACTCTTCTTAGGCCACCTCGACGACAACGGACTACACCGCCGACCTCAACGCCAGTTGCTTCTTCGCCAATAGCCACCAAACGAGAATCGGATATGAGGGAAGATGGAGGAGTTGACTCGGCAGCGAGGCAAAAGAACGGGTAATATCCGAAAATTGACGGGCAATATTCAACAGAATTTTATATTATTTATGAAACGTGTCATGACTTGATCAGGCCATGGACAAACTTCATCCAACCTGGGTTCGATGCAAGTATTGTCCATATATATGCTACCGGGCATCGGCAATTTTAGGCCACACATGCGTGGGCCTGCCCTTTTTTTTTAGAAATGTAAACTCCACCCGCCTTTTATTAGATCTCACTTACACTCTTTTTACCTTTTAAAATTCCATTTACCTTCTTTGAAGTTTTGATTTACTTTACAAGTTACCCTTATCGTTAAGCAGCTAACGATTGGTGATGATATCAGATGAAAAAAATGGTGTAAGGTCAATTTTGCCTTTCCCAATATCTGAAATGACATCTTCAATCTCATTGACCACTGCAGAACTACAAAACTAGCATTGCCTTATTAACACAAGAGTACAACAATGCCCTTCATTTAGACATATATGTGTGTACACATATATTAGACTATAAAGTGTATCTCTTGGAGATAATTAAGTGTGTGTCTTATTTATGACTAAGATGAAATTATTATTCTGTTTAATGGAATGGAAACAAGAAAACAGCTAGCCAATTTATCATTCATTAACCTACTTCAAATTTGCAATGAAAATAATTCATCTATGGTACATTCATCTAATGGTTGAAGAAAAACAAATAATTCGTGAAAACTTAATGCAAAAGAGCAATTAGTTCATTTCATTCCATCTAAGGCAAACGCCAGTATAATAAGTCATATAATGGCTACAAAAACATGCCAACATAATCCATAATCACAATTTGCAATCCTATTGTTCTTTAAAAGTTGCAAAACAAACTGACACAAACATAATGCAAAATACAATTAAACAACAACATTGTTCAACATTACAAAAAAACTACTAAATGAAGTCTTCATTTTAAGTACTTTTTGGATTATGAGATCCTCTTATCCCATTTCCTCTGACTCCCAATTGGGCAAATACATATATAAATTTCCATCTATGTGGTAGACCAATTTATGGCACTTTTCCTTCATGTGGTCCTAGTGAGGGTCCTCTTGCTTGTGCATTTGATGGATCTGCAATCCCATTTCCTCTCTGTACAGTTAGAGCAACATAACCACTTTATTTTTGTAACTGTCACACACAATAAAAAAAAAAAACAGATGTTAAGACATAGAAATTAATTAGTTTTCTATTAAACAAAACCATTACAAGATACCTTTGTGTGTTTGGCTCTAATTAGGATGCTCCTTGACTTTCTTTTCCTCTCTGCTGTGTGCTTAGCCTTGATTGAGTTGTCCCTTGACTTCCTTTTCCTCTTGAACCTGGAGTTGCAGACTCTCTCACTCCCTCTTGCAGCTTCTTCTTGCTAAAAATAAGATATATTGGTGATTCATTAGATAAAAAAATAATTTAAAAAATAAATTAAATTGAATACCAATTCCCTTCTAAGTTGGAGCCATTTTTAGTATTTGATACATTGTTTTATAAATATCAATATTTTATTCATGGGCAACATCATAAATTCACACGTTTCAAAAGAAAGGCTATGTTTTATCAATATCAACATACAATATATGTATGTGTAGCTTTTATTTCATAAATCCGAAAACTTCATCCAAACACAAGTTTTGTTTATGACAACCAAGGCACCACTAGAATTAATAAGATGTTGTAGATATTCAACTAATAAGGTGTTGTATATACACACTTCATATTCATAAGCTACCGCTAGAATTAATTGACAACCCATGTTACATTACCACTGACTACTAAGTATAACTATTTGAAACCTCTCCTCCTTTGTTTTAGTCCAATCTTAGCATTTCAAATCTTATAGTATCAATAAATAATCTTAGTTTGTTGAACACCTATAAATTAACTTGTAATTCTCTTCCAATCAGTTTTCGAAGTGTATAAAATAGTCATTGCTAATTTTAAAGGGGTATATTAAGTACTACATTACTCGTTGAACAACTATAAATGCAAATTTATTTCCTAAGCATTCAACCAATTACTAATTATTTTCACAAATTAAATGCAATATGATATAGAATAGAAAAAGAGAATTTACCTAGCCGACCCCATTCTTTTGGAAAAAAGGCAATGATGATGATGAAATACAATATAAGAGTGTTAGGGAAAATACAAAGATATAACAGGGCAATGCAACAAATACAATACCCAAGTCAAATGCGAAATACCCAGAACTGAAACTTTCCCCTCACTATGCAAATTTCTAAGATTAACAAATATAAAGCAAAAATAGCAAGCAATCAATAAACTCAATCACACAATGAACATCAGGATATACGTGGAAAACCCTTCAGATTGAAGAGTAAAAAACCACGGGCCAACTCCGAATAATCTTCCACTATCAACAATAATAATGGGGTTACAACTGGTCTTCTCTAGATTATACTAAAGGCTTACAAATCAGAGATTCTTTAAGGGAAATCAAAACCCTCTGATAACAACAACAACAACAATAGAATGAAATGTCACCCAGAAAAAGGATGGATATCAACCATAGAGATAAGTAATCTCACCCAGTGTAGCAGAACGTAAAATATGGATAAATGGATTACCTGACCAAAGAAGATGATCTTCTCAATGCTAGCAACCTCCCCCTGAAACTACACCTTGATTAATGGCCAACTGATTTGTAGAGAGTTATGGGCTATGGTCTTCCACAATCTCTCCCTCTTCTCTCACGAAGAAGAAAACGCCCAAATCAGCAATACGCCACCTCCTCCTTCTATTGTCTAAACTACAATCTTTTTCATCTCATTAACCCTACATCTCCACTAAAGGATAATATATACAAGCTTCCACATGGGCTTTGTACATCCAAGTGGCCTGAACCATGTGAGACTTATTGGGTTTTCCACATAGGAGGGAACCAGCCCAACGAATCTCCCCCTCCCGACTATGTGGAAGGATCCACCATACCCATTGAGCTTCTGCAGAACTCATGTTTCTCTCTGGGTAAGGCTTTAGTCATCATATCTGATCCATTTTTGTCAGTATGGATTTTCTGAAGTTCCAGCAACTTCTCTTCAAGAGTATCTCGAATCCAATGATACCTCACATCTATATGTTTTGATCTTGAGTGGAAACTTGGATTTTTGTTTAAGTGAATTGCACTCTGACTGTTACATGTAGCAAATACCTCTATTGCTTAAACCCCAATTCTTGTATGAATCTTCTCATCCATAACATTTCTTTGCAAGCTTCAGTTGCAGCAATCAATTCAGCCCCTATAGTAGAGAGAACAACACACTTTTACAGCTTAGATTGCCATGACATAGCTCCCCCTGCAAAAGTAATCAAGTACCCAGATGTTGACATCCTAGAGTCTGTATCTCCAGCCATGTCTGCATCTGTGAAACCTTCAAGCACATGTTTAACATTACCAAAACAAAGACAGACTCTAGAAGTACCCTTTAGATACCTGAGAATCAATTTCACTGCTGCCCAATGTTTTTTCCCAGGGTTGGAAAGAAATCTGCTCACAACTCCAACAACATATGCTATGTCTGGCCTCGTACACACCATTGCATACATTAAACAACCCACGGTTGAAGCATAAGGAACTCTCTCCATTTCTTCTTTCTCTTTCTCATTAGAAGGACTTTACTTAGAAGAAAGCTTGAAATGGTTAGCAAGAAGAGTTCCAACTGATTTTGCTTTGTCCACGTTGAACCTTCCAAGCACTTTTTCAACATATTTTTCCTGTGATAGCCACAGCCTCTTAACCTTCTTATCACGGGTAATCTTCATGCCAAGAATCTGTTTTGTTTGCCCTAAGTCTTTCATTGCAAAAGACTTGTTCAACTCTTTCTTCAACTTGTTGATTTTATTCATATCATGACCAACAATGAACATGTCATCTACATAGAGTATGAGAATAATAAAATCATTAGCTGCAAATCTTTTAACAAAGACACAATGATCTGAAATTGTCTTCTTGTAGCCATGCTCCCCCATAAAAGAGTCAAATTTTCTATACCACTGCCTTAGTGCTTGTTTCAGCCCATACAAGCTCTTATTTAATTTGCAAGCCAAATTCTCTTTTCCTTTGGTTTGAAAACATTCTCGCTGCTTTATGTAGATTTCTTCTTCTAAGTCACTATGAAGAAATATTATTTTTACATCAAGTTGTTCCACCTCTAAGTCTAAACTAGCATCCAAACCAAGTACAGCCCGAATACATGACATCTTCACCACTGGTGAAAAAATTTTCTTCAAAATTTATTCCTTATTTTTTTACTGAATCCCTTTATAACCAATCTTGCTTTGTACCTTGGACTTGAGCTATTTTCTTTAGTCTTCAACCTGTACACCAACTTATTTTTCAATGCTCTCTTGCCCTTAGGCAACTTCACCAACTTATAAGTATGGTTCTCATGCAAGGATTTCATCTCCTCTTGCATGGCTTTTAACCATTTTCCCTTCTCTTCATGTGCTATTGTTTCTTCATAATTTTCTGGTTCTCCCCCATCAGTAAGCAATGCAAACTCACTAGAAGGATACCTCTTAGAGGGTTGTTTCTCTAATGGATGTTGGTTCTGCTGATAACTGCTCTTCTTGAACTACTGGTTCATCAACATTTGTGGGAGTTTCAAAGTTTTCTGTAGCAGCTTCATCATCTTGAGCATCTTCCCTAGTATCATCATCCATTATGGGTGTTGGAACTGGATCCAAATCAATTAAATCATCAACATAGGGTTCTGGCTTCGCAGCTTTTTTAATGTTTTCAATGGTTTGATCTTCGAGAAATATAACATCTCGGCTTTTCACAATCTTCTTGTTAATTGGATCCCACAATCTGTACCCAAACTCATCATGTCCATAACCCAAAAAATACACTGATTGGTCTTGTCATCAAGCTTTAATTTTTCATCCTTGGGAATGTGCACAAATGTCTTGCAGCTAAACACCTTCAAGTGATTGTTAGATACATCCTTCCCTTTCCACACGTTTTCTGGGAAATCAAACTGCAAAGGAGTTAAAGGAGATAGATTAATTAAGTCCACTGTTGTTCTCACTGCCTCACCTTAATAAGACCTTGG